ATGCATAATCGCTTCTGTGTCCTTGTCATTAAAGGACAAGGTTCCTTCTGGTATGTAATCCCGAGTTCGTTTCTCCCTTGTGATTGACACTTTGGCGCATTTTAATACCGGCCCTTGGGTAACATCGACTCCTCCGGTAATCATGTGAATAATGTGTTGCGGTTCTTCTTGTTCATTTGTCTGTTGGATTCTCTATTTTTGAAATGATTCTTGGCTCGATCACTTAGAAACTCCCGAAGGTGCCCGTCGTTGAATAACCGGGCAACTTCTTCTCTCAGCTGTCTGCAATCTTTCGTTCTGTGGCCATGGGTACCATGATACTTGCACATTTTGTTGGGATTTCTATGGGATGGATCGGTATGTAGAGGTCGAGGCCATTTAGTATCTTTGATGTGTCCGATAGCCGATACGATGGCGGATGCATCAACATTGAAGTTATATTCCGACAATTGTGGTGCTTATTTAGGTCCGATATGCCCGTCGAAACTATTATTGCTCATGAGCCTTCGAGAGCTCTACCCTCGATCATTTCTCTTTTCACCTAGTATAGGGTTGCGCCCTAGTCCATTTGTCACGACCCAAACTAACCATGTCGTGATGGCGCCTATTGTGGAACTAGGCAAGCCGACTCATTTCCAAAACAAACCGATATTTTTATTTCAAAGAAAATTTCAAGGTTATTTAACTTAAAAACCTTCGTAAAAGAGTTCAAATCAAAATAAAAGTGCAGAAAAGAAAAGCCTGACATCGGGGTGTCACTAGTCATGAGCATCTACTGCAATTTGTCTGACAATATAGAGACTAACATAATTTGGAAAAATAGCTAAATACAACTAAAGGAAGATAAGAGGGAGAAGAGCAGGGTTGCGATCGCCAGACAGCTACCTTATTATCCCCGAGAAAATCTGCAACTGAAATAGTCAACAGCCGCTACTGTGTCCAACTACACCTAGATCTTTACACAAGGTGCATGGAGTAACGTGAGTATGCCAACTCAGTAAATAAAGACTGAGAAGTAGTGATGAGAAGTAATGCAAGTAAAGTTCATATCACAAAAATTCAGTAAAATACAGTATGCTTTTAAAACCAGGGTTTGAATCAAATCAGCTCCTTTAAATCCAGTTCCAGTAAAATCATTTAAAGACATCTTTCAACAGTTTTTCAAACAAAGGCTTAATGCAAAGGTGAGAAAAAATAATGAAAGCATAATTAGCCCCTCGGGCATAATCGCTCATATACAGCCCCTCGGTCAAACCTCACAATTACTCGTATACAGCCCCTCGGGCAGACCTCACTATCACTCATGCCTCCCAGTCACTCGGCACTCGACACTCGCACTCAGTAGGTACCTGCGCTCACTAGAGGCGTGTACATACTCCGTAGGGGCTCCTTCAGCCGAAATGCTATATCAAACCAAATCATGGCATAAATCAATCAGGCCCTCAGCCTCACTCAGTCATAAACCTCTCAAGCCACTCGGGCTCTCAGTAAAACGGGGTATTCAGCCCAAAACAACATTTATATGCATCAAAACAGAGTAATAAAAACTGAGTTATACAGTAAACATGTATAACCCTGACTGAGTATAGATTTTCAATCAAAAACAGTGAGAGAATAGTAAGAAAAGTCCCCTAAGGGTCCAAACAGCACTGGCACTAGGCCCAAACATGTCAATCAGCCCAATTTACAGAAACTCTTTCTAAACACATAAGTATAATATAGTTTCAACAAAATATGCAACTTTACAGTTGCCACGTGACGGACCAAGTCACAATCCCCAACGGTGCACGCCCACACTCCCGTCACCTAGCATGTGCGTCACCTCAAAAATAGTAAAATGATGCGAAATCCGGGGTTTCATACCCTCAGGACTAGATTTACAATCATTACTTACCTCAAACAGGTCAAATCTCTACCCCGCCATGCTCTTGCCTCTCAACTCGGCCTCCAAATGCTCCGAATCTATTCACAATCAGTACAATACTATCAATATACGCTAATGGAATGAATTCCACAAGAAAAACTATCAAATTAGACCAAAATCCCGAAATCGGCTCAAACCCGGCCCCCGGGCCCACATATCGAAATCCGACAAAATTAATAAAACTAGAAAGCCCATTCACTCACGAGTCCATATATACAAAATTTATCAAAAGCCGACATCATTTGATCCCTCTAATCCTTAAATTAAACTCTCCAAAATCTCAAGCCCTAACCCCTCATTTTCGCCTTTAATTTCCACTAATTACATGATTAAACAATAAGAAATCACCATAAATACGAGTATTAGGGCTCAAGCAACTTACGTCACTGATAACCCCTTGAATCTCTCTTCAAAATCACTCCCAAAAGCTTCAAACGCGACTGAAAATGGTGAGAAGTGGACCAAAATTCGCGAAGTCTCTTTATTATACTTTATGCCTAGGCCTTTCGCACCTGCGGACCAATTCTCACTTCTGCGCCACCGCACCTGCGGAAAATCCATCACAGGTGCAGAACTCACTTAGGATCCCAGGTTCCGCATTTGCGGACAAACCTCGCACATGCGGTTCGCGCACCTGCGCGCTCACACTCTGCTTTTGCGGAAACTGACCAATTCTGCCCTTTCCTAACACCCATATAACCTCACCTATATACCACCAAGTGCCTTATGAACCTCCCCCTAATCTTCCTCAAAACACACCCAGAAACAGTCAATGGCAGGCTGCAGTTCACCAGCCAAATACCTTTATACCAAACCTTCCATTTACTAATATGCTAAGGTTGGTTTCCCAAGTTTCAATGGAGAGGATTTGAGAACTTGGTTGTATAAGGTGGACCGGTTCTGTTCTGAGGAAGAGATCACCATCCAACACAAGATGAAACTAGTGTCTATGCACTTTGAAGGTGATACACTACAATGGCATTTTGGATACATGAGGAGGAGGAGGAGTAAAATGCCTCTCCCAACATGGGATGAGTACATTTGGGCAATGTGTGACAGCTTTGGTTCAGAATATACTGATCCATTGACTTAAATAATGAATGTGAAGCACACAGGGACAATGAAGGAGTACCAAAAGGCATTCAACAATGTAATGACTAGGTTGGACATATCGGCAAGGCATGCAATTAACATATTCCTTAACAACCTCAAGCCTGAATTGAGCAGTGCTGTCAGGATGGGAAATCCAAGTACCTTACCTCAGGCTTACTACTTGGCCAGACTACAAGAGACAAATTTTGCTGCTCAAAGCAAGGCAATCAGAAACTTGAACTCAGGGTCCTCCATGAATAGAGGATCAAGTGGACATAATTCCAGTAACTGGCACAAAGATAGTTCCCATGGGTTCAAGAAACGTTCTACTGTCAGAATGGCATAACAACAGAAGGAGAAGGTTGACACCTACTGAAATGGATGAAAAAAGAGCAAGAGGCATAGGTTTATTTTGTGATGAGAAGTTTACTCATGGCCATAAATGTAAGACAAAAAGACAAATCTATTCCTTGGAGCTGTGACCCATAGAATAATTGGATGAGAAGGAAGAAAGTGAAAAAGAAGACTTAGAAGTGGAAGAAGTCAAGGAGGAAGTAATGGAAGAATCACTTAAGAATTGTGTTATATCCTTACAGGCACTCAATGGCACCCCCAAGGTATCAAACACTCAGGCTTAGAGGATTCACTGAACATAAGCCATTAGAGATCTTCATTGATTATGGATCCACCCACAATTTCATTGATGAAGACACAACAGAAATATTGGGATGCAGGATTAGTAGAATCAAACCTCAACTGGTACAGGTAGTTGATGGTAGAGAAGTACTTACATAAATAATGTGTAAAGGATTTCAGTCGCTAATCCAAGATGTTGTGTTTCAAGATGATTTACTAGTATTCCCTATAGACAGCAATGATGTAGTGATGGGCATACAGTGGTTGTATATTTTAGAAGATATCAAGTTTAACGTCAAAAAGCTATTGATAGAGTTTGAGTACGAGGGAAAATTGTTGACCTTACAGGGAATTCAACCCAAACTCAAGGATGTACAGTCCAAGGCCTTAGAGAAGGTTGATAGGAGTAATTCAAAGTTATTTATGGTTAAGGTAAGGGGTGCTAAAGGAGAAGTATTGAAGGCTACAAGAGCTGAAGATACACAGGAATAAAGGCTGGTCAGTGAAGTTCTAATGGAATATGGCAATGTGTTTGGTGAACCAACACGGTTACCACCCTCTAGAAGTGTATTTCATCATCACATACCATTATTGGAGGTCACATCTCCAACCAATGCCACCATATAGGTATTCACCTGTGCAAAAAGATGTTATAGAAAAGCTAGTGCAAGACATGTTAACTCAAGGTATTACTCAACACAGTTCTATCCATATGCCTCACCTGTGGTGTTGGTGGGAAGGAAAGATGGAACATGAAAAATGTGTGTGGATTATAGAGCTTTGAGAAAAATGACTGTCAAAGACAAATTTTTCATCCCTATTATTGAAGAGTTATTATATGAGCTAGGAGGTTCCCAGATATAATCTAAAATAGACCTCAGGGCAGGGTACCATCAAATTAGAATGGTACCTAAAGATGTAGCGAAAACTGCTTTCAAGACACATTCTAGGCATTATGAATACTTGGTCATGCCTTTTGGGCTGAACAATGCTCTTTCAAGCTTCCAAGGATTGATGAACTATATTTTTCTGACACATTTGAGGAAGTTTATCCTTTTATTTCTTTTATTCTTTGATGATATTTTAATTTACAGCAGGAGCTTGGAAGAACATTTGCAACATCTCAAGATTGCATTTGATCTATTGGAAATTCGTGAAAAATCTGGAAAATATTTTCATGGCCAAATTTGTTTTTAGAACTACATCACATGCCAAACAGAAAGTACAACCAACAATACAAGACTAAATACAATTAAGCATTCACATACCAAATTCAATATGCAATCCAATTCATTTCACAAACAACAACTAATCAATCAATTTCATAATTAATCTCACTAATCCAAAAGTAGAACAAAAACTCAAAAAATCCAACATTCAATATTCAACATCCAAGTACCATCCAAGACAAGCTAATAAAAAAAACTGCTCTTTAGTTATCATCAGATGCTGGAGAACGGGGCACAGAAAATGCACCAGATGCTAAGAGGGAGTTTATTTGATACTTGAGACTTTTAACATCACTAGTGACAAGTCTTAATGCATCGTCCTTTTGCCTCATTTCTTCCTCCCTTCACCTTTGCCTCTTCTTCCCTTGCAGCCCTTTCTTGAAGATACAACTCCGTAATCTTCACTACCTTCCTATTCAATTCTTCAAACTCATCCAAATCAACTGAACTATGTGACGAAGAATAAGAATCAGAGAATTCAGAAGTACGACGGCCGAGACCAAACTCTTACCCAAGGCCGTAGACTCTCCCCTTATGCACGCCACCAGCTGCCTTAATCCACATGTCCATGATCCCCTCTTGGGTTAGTTGGATTGGCCTACCTCGATCATCAATCGACTGGATTTGAATGAACTCCTCCAAGATTCGTTTGAAATTACCCTATAAAACAATTACAATTATTATAAAAGTAAATTTTATTAAAGAAAATTTATGCAAGTAAATATCTTTATTTCTCAAAATTTATAGTGAAACACGCAAAAAGATAAAAAGCGTAGCAGCCTATCTGGACTTAATCACTTTAAAGTATCTTTATTTCTCAAACTGGTATAGAAGAAGAAAGTTAAAAACAGAATGTACTGAAATGAAATATAGATAAACTTAGAGGAACTAAAAGGAAAATTGCTAGCTATAACAATTGAACCATCCGTTCTCTAAAATTTTGGTAATTATGCTGCTAACATACTGTCAAAAATATCAATAATAGGCTTTTCTTGAAACATTAATTGTCTCTCCAGATTTCAATAGATCCTCTTCCCAACATCTTTATATAAAACATTTCCCTTTGCCACTCTTATCAAATTAAAGCTTATCTAATCAATCCTATACTATATTTTGTTGCTTTTGACATTTAGGGAAAATAAAAGCAGAATCCAATTACACAAACATCTAACACATCAGATTCTCACCATGTCATATCAAGGATTAATTCAGTTACTCAGATGTGGCCTCATGAAGATAAATCAAGGCAACTTTACATTGTCTTGACCAGGTAAATTCACATTGTTATAATTCAAAAATACATAAAGAGCAAGAAAAAGAAGAAGAAATGTAATAAGACAAATACATGCCAATTTTAATGTCATGTTTACTGTTTTTGTAGTAACAGAGGTTTTACTGTATGAAAAGTGGTAAAACTTAAGAAATTTCATGCAATTTTTGTTTTTTATTGAATGAATGATATTAGTACTAAAATCCCAACCAAGACTCAATATATTGACATTGACAACCTTTATAATCATACATCTCTTCATGTTTGGCAGCTAACAAATTTACTATGTGAACCTACGAAAGAAAGCTGCTTAAAATGTGCATGATTGATCCTCTTAATTTGATCAGTGTTTTGCTGCTATTTAGGGGTGTTCCTTATCGAGAATTAGCTCTCTATATGGGAATATAACTGCTGGTCAAGGGAAAATTCACAAGGCATTGAAATGTAGAGAACCTGGTTTTAAAGCTGGCATGTATACATGGACATCACTTAACACTTTTTTACGCTTATGACTAGAGAAGAAGTTGTTAATTTATTATTAATGTTAATAAGAGAGCGATATTGTTAATTCATATATGTGAAGAATATTATTAATATTACATGAGTTGTCTCAGCACGCGGCTCGATCCAAGTCGTTTTTGTTTCATCCTTCAACTTCTTCATGTGGGTTTCCTCAAACACCTCATCATGAGTAACTGGTCTTCCTTTAGCCTTTTCCGGCAAAAATAAATAATATGTTAAAAATGGTAACTAAAATAGTTATAAATCAAGAAAAATATAATAAACACATTACCAATCTTCTTCGATGAGCCACCATACTAATTGAGTGCTCGTGTGCACCGAGCCACCCTTGTTGGACAAATGGGCTACCCTTCCCTGTTAACTCTTCTTCTCAAATTTCGGAGAGTTCCAATACTCAAGAAGATTAACCCATATATCATCAAGAATCCAACTTGGCCTCTTTTTACTTTCTCGAGCAGTCCGAAGCATATCAGACAACCTATCACAACTTTTCTTAAAGAAAACGACTCGTACCTCAGCTTCAAAATCGTGTGACCATGCACACTTCATCTGCAAATAACCACTTGCATCGAAAAAGTACCAGTCATACTCTATTTCTAAAATCTCCTGAAGTACACCATAATAATCAATATCTTCATCTTGGTCCCATCACCACCCTTCACCCAGACTCCGTTATTAATGGTTTTTTTATTCTTAGACTATTCTTCCGTGTGAAACTTGTACCCATTGATAAAGTACTTGGACATAGTTTTAACTTGAGGAATAGGTCCCTAAGCTATATCACGCAAAAATGGATCACTTATACCATTGTCTGAATTATGAACCTATATAGAGTTGAAGAAAAATTAAGAAGTTAGAAAATACAACTTGTACAAAAATGAGAATATGGTATTTGTTAACACTTATATAATCTCTATACCACTCTAAAAACCTTGAATAAACAACATCTTGGCCAAACACACTCACAAAATATCTCTCCCACATATTTATAAAGTTTATTATCTAAAATAAGAATAGACCATGCAAGTAGGTCAATAACATAATTTCAAACCTACTCGTAAAATTGTTGAACTTCGGGGTAGTTGAGCAACACGTGTGTTGTAGCCGACTTTTTCTCCATCCCAGTCCAATTTCGTTTTTTATACTTTTTAGAACTTCAACCGGGTTGATTGAATATGGATATCGGCGGTGCCAAAGGATCATTATCACCTTCATCATCATGCCGATTTGGCCTATTTCTCAAACATGGCACATGATGCTCAAAATAATATGAACCAAAATGAGAAGTTTCGTTCACTAGATATGCTTCACATATTGATCCCTCAATCTTGAATTTTTGTTTCACCATCCGCTTACATTTGCCAATAGTCCTACGTAGCATAATTTTATATGGGAAGAAGTGTAATCAAAATACATAAAGGAAAAATAATTAATGATTATTACCTCTCAAATGGATACATCCATCTACATTAAACAGGCCCTCCAAGTCGTGTCTCTCTTACAAGATGAACTGGGAGATGTTCCATTACATTGAAAAAACTACATGGAAAACTTTTTGCTAGTTTGTTTATGATTAAATGGATGTTACTTTCCATCAAAACTAGATTTCCCTCCCTCAATGTATTAGCACATAGGTCTTTGAAATATAAGTTATCTCTGTAATGGGTTTCCATATTCTCTCAGGCAAAGCACTAAATGCAATAGGAAGTAATGATTCCATGAAAATGTGACAATCATGGCTTTTCATATACATCATATTTCCTTCTTTCATGTCAACACAATTGGATAAGTTTGAAGCATACCCATCGGGCATTCTCAAATTTCGAACTCAATCACAGATCTTTCGTTTGTCATCCATTATGAATGAATAGTTGGCCTTAGGCTTCACCATCCTGTTATTTTCTTGTCGTAGCTCTAATTCTCTTCACCTACAGTATTCATGTAAGTCCATCCTGGCCTTCAAATTATCTTTTGTCCTGTTCTTGTCATCCATTATAATATGAATCAGATTATCAAAAGAGTTCTTTTCAATATGCATGACATCCATGTTATGTCAAAGAAGATTATGCTTCCAATAAAGTAACTCCCAAAATATGCTATGTTTTGTCCAATTATGCTCAAAACCATAACCAGGTAATTTAAGCAATGGAGACTCTGTTACCTTAGGAAAATTCTTAACCCTCTCCCAAATTTCCTCCCCCGACAAGTTTGCTGGTGGCTCATCATAATCAGTTCGATTCTTCATAAATGCACTAGTATTTCTCCTGAACTCATGATTCATTGGTAAAAACCGACGGTGACACTCAAACCATGTGGTCTTACCTCCATGTTTCAAAGTGAATACTTTTGTATCTTCCATACAGTAAGGACAAGCTAACTTTCCAGTAGTCGACCATCCAGATAACATTCCATATGCAAGAAAGCCATTAATAGTCTACATCAAAGCAGCGCGCAATTTAAAATTTTGTTTAGTTGATATGCCGTATGTTTCAACACCTTCCTGCCACAATAACTTTAGCTCATGAATCAAAGGCTGCAAATATACATCAATCAAACTTTTTGGATTATTTGGACCCGGAACTATGCCAGTTAGGAACAAATATGGACTTGTCATATACATCTCTGGCGGAAGATTATACGGTGTAATAAAAATAGACCAACAAGAATATGGTGTGGCAGAGACAGAAAAAGGAGTGAATCCATCTGCACACAAACTCAACCTAACATTTCTTAGTTCATTAGCAAAGTCAGGATACATCCCATCAAAATGCTTCCACGTTTCTCCATCTGAAGGATGATACAAAATATCAGATGCCCTTCTATTTTCGTGGTGCCATCTCTTAATTGGAACTTTCTTTGCTTTGGCATTTGTGACTTCCTTAAAACGAGACAATACACAAAATTTATATGCTTCTAGAGCCACATCATATTTATAATATAACATACAATATTTTTCATAACAATCAATTTTTGTTGAGGAAAGTCCTAACTTGGAAACTAACTTCTTAGCCTTATAGTAATCACCGGGTAAGTTAATGTTCGGATTAACTTTACCCATAAGCCCAATTATAGAATTCATGGCCGCTTGAGAAATATTCCAATCCGATTTGATAGTTAGTAATCTAACTGCAACAGACAACTCCGAGTGCATTGAGCCTTCATAGAGTGGATGACTAGCCGCTCTAATAATTCATAAAAGTGCTTTGCCTCATCATTGGGAGACTCGTCAATATTTTGTTGGGATTGAACTCCTGGGTGTATCCCAAAAGCATTCGACATCATTTCATGCATTTGAGAATTATCATAATTTTTCTCAAAGAATGTACTACTCTCATAACTAGTAAGATTCTGAAAGTCAACGTCAGCTAAATTACTGTAGTTCTCTCCATGAACCGTCCACACATAATAATTTCTCTAAACCCCTTTCTGTAAAGATGAACTTTAACATCCTCCGGTATCAATAAGTTTATACATTTTCACTTAGAACAAGGACATCTAATTGTTCCTTCATTACGGAATTCGGGAAGTGTTTTTGCATAAGCAATAAACCCTCTAACACCTTCTATAAATTCTTCCTTCAACCCCCCACAATTAGGATGATTTCTATCATACGTTCATCTACGATCTCGTTCCATCTATTACATACAAGATAAAATAATTAGATAAAGAAATAAATAATTTATTTCATTCACTCAGTGGAACGTCATGAAACAATGTTTCATAAACTATTCCTTATACATGAAAATTGATAAAGATTACTACTTTAGATTTTACCACTATATACTGATCATGTACTTTATTTTCTTATATTTTAGTTGATTAATGGTCCGTGTTAAAAGATAACTACACAAGTCGACAACCAAAAAAATTAAACTGTGTATTTTAAAATTATCAACTTTCTATCTCCATTTCTGGAAGAGCTCTACACATTTATATAAAGAAAAGGAGAACTTTATCATAATAGTTTAACATTTATACTCTTAGGAGACAATGCATGTAACGAGAATAAACTTTTATTTTTACTCTTAATATCATTTTTATATAGCAACATAAATTTCACGAATTGTTTAAGGCCAATCAATACACCTTAAAGTTCAATCTTAAGGTTTTTACAAGTGAACACATTGTACTTTGAAATTATAGTTTAAAAGTTTTATATTTCTATCCGGTAGCAGTATTAATTCTCTATTTTTGTGACTTTTCTTCATAGTATAAAATGAGGCAAAGAAAGTTACTAAGCTCATATTTTGCACCAAGTTGTAATCATGTAGCAAGAATATGGATCATATCAAGCATGTGGAAACCCAAATAGGAAAATATATATATATATCCTTGTTCCTCCACATGAAGAAAAAGCACAATTCAAATATTCTTTTATTCACAATCAATTATAAGCGTACGTAACACAACACTATTATCCGTTTTGGAATATTAGATGAAAGTACTAAAAGAAAACAGAATAGTTAATACACCTACTTAAGAGGTACTAACAATCAAAAAATAAAATATAAGATAGTGTTTTTTGTGTGAAATATCGATTTGAGGCATGAAGGTGCTAATTCAGAAACAGGATTTTAGCTTACCAAATTCTCATCACCAGGAAGGTTTCCGTTTTTGGCAAGATTGACAGCAAGCAAGATTATTCAACTGCAATAAAATTTATACAAAATTTTATGTCTTTCATGGTTATAGATTACCAAATTTTACAGGAAATGCATCTACAGAAATATACATGACACGCATAAACTCTAATGTAAAACAATTGAGCCTTATAGTTTACCTTGATTATTGTCACAGTGCATTAGTCAAATCCAAAAAGTAATCCCATTCATTGCAGCACATGTTGCTCTTTCCAAAATGTCTTTTTCAAGTTTTTTCTCACAGTTAACCACTTCTTGGTTGCATATATAATAAATAAATAAAAGCCTACAGTTCACTATTCATTGGACTAGATACTCCCAAGCACGGGCGGCTCAACAGATATCGGGGCCTAAGGCGAAACCATATTCGGAGGTCCCTAAATCTCAGTATAATTCCACTAGTGAGATTTGGGGAGAGTAGTTTGTATGCAGACCTTATCCCTACCCTGGAGTAGAGAGGTTGTTTCCGATAGACCCTCGGTTTCCTCCCTCTAAGAACTCATCACCTTACTCTTGGGGTGACTCGAACTTACAACCTTTTGGTTTGAAGTAGAGGGTGTTCATCACTAGAGCAACACACTCTTGTCAAATATACTAATTAATGAGGGAAGAAAATTATCATAATTTATAAATTTATTGTATAAAATAACCTCAATCAAGTAACAAAAAATATACTGTAACACTTTTTTTATTCTAATTATTTATATAAATTATATAATATATAATAGTAACAATAATAATAAGAATTTAAAATAAATTTGGGGGCCTTCAAAATTTGGGGATCTAAGTCAATGACCTCACTACCCAAAGCATTAGAGCCGCTCCTGCTCCCAAGTATGGAGTATCTTACAAATAAACAATAAAGTACAAGACAAAAGGCTTTTGTTTCTTTCTAGATTTTTTGAGAAACCATGCCACACTTCCCCCAATCACTAACATGGAGAACCTTTAAAAATATCAAAACTTCCCACTACATTTAAGTTCACACTCACTAACTCAAACCAAAAAAATGAGAATCAAGATAGGGTATACAGAAGAAAGAGAAAGATAAAGCATTAGATTATACTATATTTTACAGGATGGGCTTTTAAACTTCATGAGCAATCTGTTTATTTTTTTTCTTTTTTCCTTTTTAGAAAAGCTATCTACTTCTAAAAATATTGACGAATCATTAATGATCAATTTTTTAGATGTTGTTGCTTTAGAAATAACCATCGAATTAGTTGAAAACGTATGTGGTCAATTTTGAGAACATGTAGTTAATACAGTAGATAAAATTCAAAGTTCAAATCATAAATTCACAAGTTTATATTCCACCAGCTATGAACTATAAAAATTTAATAACTTCAAAGACAAAATTAGAAAAATTGCAAAAGAGGGCAACTTGATTCGCTTCACATTAATTTTTTTAAACCTAGGATTTGAAATAGTATAAAATCCCTAAGTTTCAAAGTACTTTAGGGGATATCAAAAATGAAAAAGGAGAGGGTGAGTGAGAGATGGTGGGAGGGGTCGAATTACCTGGAAATGGAGTGAAGAGAGAGAGAGAGAGTGACGGAGGGAGGCGTCGTGGAGTGGAAGATATAGAGGCGAAAATACAGAGGCGTCTGTGGAATAGAATGAGGGAAAACTTAAGGATATGTGAATAATAATAAAAAATTTCCACTACTACCTTGGAAAATCTCCGTGGAAAATCTTTTTCAGAGATATAAGAAAAATTTAAAATTTTAAAAATATTCGTTCACATTGAGTCTATGGGAATATGTAAAAAAAAAATTATTTATTGTTTAAGTTCTCATTGTCTTCACTAGGAAATTTTTTTAGTTTTATATAATTATTTTTTTTAATGATTTTTTTCACAGAATTAGAGGGAACTAAGTTACGCGCATTTTTGCGCCAAAACATTCCCACGGATAGTCACTAGCAAATGTTATTATTTTTCTAGGAAAAGAAATTTTAATATTCCCATTGTATTTCGGTGGGAATTGCCACTGGAAAGTTTTTCATGGGAAAATAATGTGTTTCTAGTAGTGTAGAAAGGTGGAGGCTTTAAAGACTTGGCCTGAACCTTAGACAGTCACTCAACTTAGGAGATTTCTGGGGTTAGTTGGGTATTATATGAGGTTTATAAGAGGGTATGGGGTCATTAGTAAACCTCTTACGAACCTACTCAAAACAGATAGCTACTGCTGGATTGAGAAGGCTGAGGAAACCTTTGATAAGCTGAAATTTGCCCTAACTACAACACCAGTACTAGTTCTTCCAAACTTCTCTCTGGCCTTTGTGGTAGAAACTGATGCTTGTAATATAGGCATTGGAGTTGTACTGATGCAGCAAGGCCAACCAATTTCCTATCTCAGTAAAGGATCGTCTTCACAGCACCAATCATTATCAGTGCGACAAGGAACTGTTAGCACTAGTCCTGGCAGTAAACAAGTGATCTCAGTACTGACAGTGAAACCTTTCATTGTTAAGACAGACCAAAAAGCTCTTAAGTTCTTGCTAGATCAGAAGCTACACACAAGCAATCGGTAGAAATGGATCACCAAGTTAATGCAATATGACTTTGAGATCGAATACAAAAAGGGAAAGGAAAACAAGGCTGCAGATGCACTCTCTAGACTTCCCTTGATAGAGTTGTCATCCATAACACTATCAACTGGGAAGAGCAATCTGTTAGAGGCAATTATGAAAAGCTGGGAGCTAGATGATGAGTTGAAGGAAGCAATCCAAACTCTCAAGAACAAGGGCTCTAATGAGATGGGATACACCTTCATACATGAACAATTAAGAAAGAATGGTAAGCTAGTGATAGGACTTGACCTACCACTAAGAAAAGAAATCTTATAGTTATGGCATAATTCAACTATTGGAGGGCATTCAGGGATGGACAACACTTACAAGAGGATATCCTTTATATTCTATTGGAAAGGAATGAAAGAAGAATTTTAAGAGGTTTGTGAAAAATTATGATATTTGTCAGAAGCACAAGTATGACAATGCCACTTACCCAAGGTTGATATAGCCTCTTAGAATACCTTATGCAGCTTGGAGTAGCATAAGCATGAACTTCATTGAAGGGATACCTAAATCTAAAGGAAAACTAGTCATCTGGGTGGTGGTGGATAGGCTTACTAAGTATGCCCATTTTATAGGTATATCTCACCCTTATTCTACAAATGAGCCGGCCAAGATATTCATGGAGCAGATCTACAGACTACATGGGCTGTCAGAAGACATCATAAGTGATATAGATCCTATTTTTACAAGTAAACTTTGGCAAGAATTGTTTGCAATGTTAGGAGTAAGTCTCAATACCTCAATTGCATACCACTGAAGTCTCAATACCTCAACTGCATACCACCCTCAAACAGATGGCCAAACTGAGATAATTAATAGGTGTGTGGAGAATTATTTGAGATGCTTGTGTTTTGATTCTCAAAAGGACTGGATGCACTATTTGGGGCAGCTGAATGGTGGTACAACACTACATTTCACTCCTACATACAGTGCACACCATATGAAGCATTATATGGTCAACCTCCTCCCTTGCACTTGTCTTATGCTGCTGGAAATTCAATCATGGATGAGGTGGATAGAAGCCTACTCGCTAGGGAGTTCAAGGTGTAGCTTCTGAAATATCACCTTAAAAGGGCTCAACAGAGAATGGTGAATCAAGCCAATAAACATAAATCAGATAGATAATTCAATTAGGGTGACTGGGTATATGTTAAAATACAACCCTACATGCAGATCACTACGTGAGGGGGATAATTTTCTAAATTTTCTGCTAAATATTATGGGCCCTATCAGATTCTACAGAAAGTAGGAAATATTGCCTACAAATTTTTCTTCCCTCGCAGTTGCTACTGCACCCAACGTTCTATGTCTCTCAACTCAAGAAATGCCATGAGCTACCAGAAGCAACATCACATCCTCCCATAGTTGAATTGTCAAGTCCTTACTATCCTTAGCCACATAATATTTTGGATAGGCGCATGATCCAAAAAGGAAATAAGGTTGTGGCTCGGGTTCTAGTCCAATAGGACCAGTTGCCGCCTGATCGAGCTACATGGGAAGATTATCCATCCTTGAAGACACGCTTTCCTCTTTTCCTTCCTTGAGGGCAAGGAAGTTCTTAACGGAGGGGAACTGATGCAATTTAGAAGAGGGTCAGCTTGCGATGTTAGTACGGGAGGCATTAAAGGTTGTACGTAGCCGTTAGAATCAGTTAAGTGACGAGTAGATTTAAGTTTATTAGCTGAGCAGTTAAGTCCCTTCTAGGTTTCTCATGTAAGTTTGAGTAATTGCAATTAGGTCTATAGATTTACGTTATTCCTACACTTTTAGTCATGTCAGAGTTAGTTACATAGTTTTGTGTGGTAGTGGATAGTGGAGGCTATATGTATTCATCATTGAGTTATCAGAAGGCATCAATTGAAAACCAATTTTAATTTTGACCTAATTTCTTTTTCCTTAGCTTTTTACTTCTTCCTTTTTCACTGTTTTATTATCGCTGACATCATATTTTTATCCCTGTGAGAAGGTGAAATAACAATCCCAAGATAACTAATCTTGCGATAACTTATTTCCAACCAAACAACCCATAGTGTTTAGTACTAATGTTTATAAAAGTTGTCTCTAAATGAGTATATATAGCAATCATTTTCATCTTCTATGCTAATTGAAGTTCTGTTATGAGTCATGTTAAGATAATGGGGTGATTTATGAGAGTGAAAAATCCTACTTTTTTGTCAACTATTTGAAACTTGATAATCTATTTATTTATTTTTAAAAATGATGACAGGATGTATGGACCAGAATAATAAATAACAACAGCAACAATAGATCTACTATAATTTCACAAGTGGGGTTTAGGGAGGATATATAGTGTGCACGTAGCTTTACCTGTATCTTGTAAAGGTAGAGATACTGTTTCCGATAAACCATCGGCTCAGGAGCCGAAGTAATACATAAGTTGGCAAATAATACGCCTGCATTGGCATTATTGTGACGCCTTTGGTGTTTATAAATTCAAATGATGAACTAATGGAGAGTTGGTCACTTGCCAATAATTACATTAAATTATAATTACCAACAATTATTATTTTGACAATTTTAGACAAAGATATGATAGTTTAGTATGATATATACTTTACCAAGTTATATCTGTAGCTATATTTTAATGGAACATCTTAGAGTAGAGCCCTCACCAAGTATTCTCTGCATGAGAGCAGCTAGGGAGGACTGTCCAAAAAACATTAAGTTGATTTAACTGCCTCAAAATTAAAGGTATGAACTTATATATGCACTTATTCACGTTATCATAATTTATTTCAAGTTCGTTTGCTACTCAATTAACATGAGCATGACTACTTTGGAATACTCTATTCATTAATTTCAAAAACATTAAAAGATAATTAACAAATATTTGTAATTAAGCAATGTAATTACTGTACATTTAGTCTTGTCGGAGTTAGTTACATAGTTTTGTCTGGTAGTGGATAGTGGAGGCTATATGTATTCATCATTGAGTTATCAGAAGACATCAATTTAAAATCAATTTTAATTTTGCCCTAATTTCTTTTTCCTTAGCTTTTTACTTCTTCCTTTCTCATTGTTTCATTGCCGTCGATATCAAGAAGTTGTTAATGAGCTATGAGAAGTGATTAATGAAGTCATACACAGCGATAGAAGACCTGAATGAGGTAAAGATATAGATCCAAGAGGAGGAGAGTTGTACTTTCCTAGTGATTTTCCCATCAATTTAGGAGAAATGGCAACACCCAGATCTATGGAAGGTAATTGTTCTACTTTATCGAGTGTTTCATTTCCTAGTAGTATTCCGACCTCAAACACTATACCTCCTATTCGAAATACTACCATGGGAGTTAATTGGACCTCCCCTGGAACTCCTACTCAAATGTAAGTGAACCCTAGTATGTAAAATCCAAGTCAACCAGTGAAAACACACATATTACCCTATCCTATAACACATCTTATTATGTTCTAAACACAAGGACCTTTAGGTCCTTATTCCCCACAACCCAGAACTCTTCCACCTCAATCTCACTTTCTTCCTGAATTAAACATAAGTTATCACAGTCAGCCTTACCAGTGTCCTAGCACTCCAAGTCGAGTTCAATACCCTTATAACTCTTATAACTAGCCCACACAGTATCCAATAGCTTATCTAGTACCTAACACCTATATAACATCACCTATATACCACAAAGTTCCTTATGAACCACCCCCTAACCTTCCTCAAAACACACCCAGAAACAGTCAATGGCAGGCTGCAGTTCACCATCCAAATACCCCTATACCAAACCTTCCATTTACTAAATATGCTAAGGTTGAGTTCCCAAGGTTCAATGGAGAGGATTTGAGAACTTGGTTGTATAAGGTGGACCGGTTCTTTTATGAGGAAGAGATCATCATCCAATAGAAGATGAAACTAGTGTCTATGCACTTTGAAGGTGATACACTACAATGACATTTTGGATACATGAGGAGCAGGGGTAAAATGCCTCTCCCAACATAGGATGAGTACATTTGGGTCATGTGTGACAGCTTTGGTTCAGAATATACTGATCCAATGACTGAAATAATGAATGTGAA